TTTGGTCTGAATTAAGCTTAATTTGGCCTAAATTAAGCTTAATTTAGGCCAAATTAAGCTTAATTCAGACCAAAAAATTTAAACCACATCTGAGCATTATTTACAGTGGCAGTAGTAAAATATATTTATATCTAATAAAAATTACAGAAACTTCAATATATATGAAGCTATTGTATCTGATCGGATACATATTTTGGATCTTGGCCTCTTTAAGTATATGTTGAATTATACTAAAAAGCTTTTACTTGAACAATGTGAAGGCCATGTGTTACAAACTGTTGAACGTTGATTAGTATCGATACCTAGATTTAAAGGTCTTAAAATAATGAAGAGTATAGATTTAATACACATGATGGCTGAAGAATTGCAGAATATAATGAAAATAATCATTTTTGTTCTTGACAACCTATACAAGAATTATAAAAGACTAGAAATTAGTAATAAATGTTTATGTAAAGTTTATTACAAATTTCTTTAAATGTATATTGCTATACATGAAGAATCATTTACTTACAATTTATGTAACCAGCTTCAGGTATGAATGAATTTTTATCTTTTTTGCTAACCTGATTATTAATGATAAATTGTACAAGATTTCATTATAGATTGGGCCAAAGAGTTTGTTAAAATTTTTTCAAAATACAATTCAAGTGGTCTCCAACTTTCTAAGCTCCATGTTTGGTATTACTATCTAATATCTGCAATTCACAAATATGGGTCAGTAAATAGTATGACCACAGAGACCTATGAAACTCTTCACAAAAATTATATAGAAAGACCTTATTGTATGTCAAATAAAAGAGACTATATGAAACAAATAGTAAGGACAGTAAGTTATATATATATTAAATAATCAATATCTATTTCTAAGCACTAGTAAAAAAAAGTATATTTTAATTAATATTACTTGTAACATATAACATAAGTAATAACTTAATTACTAGATAATCAATATATATCTAGTAATTAAGTTATTACTTGTAATATATATTACAAGTAATTATTAATTAAAATATAATTTTTTTTTAATCAGTAAATAATCATTATTATTAGATTCAATATCAGAAATTAACTAAAAACGATGCTCAAAAGAAATATTGACGAATGAAAAGGTTTGAACAGTTTTTGTGGTTACTAAGTATGGAGAAACTGGATAATTTCCTTGAGAAAAACAAAAATAATCTGAATCAATTACAACTTGAAGGCTCTCAAAACTTATTAAGTAGCCTTGATAAATTTTTGGAAGAGGAATCGATTGTGTCTTTTAATGAAAATCATCATATAGAAATATTTTCTTTTGCTATCTTGGAAAGTACCAATATAATTTGTACCACACCAAGTTTTCATGAAAAACTAATATTTTCAAATATTATAATAAGTAATTTTGATAGAGAAAGTGAAATAAATTGATATAGTTTAGTAAGTAAAGAACTACTTGAACTTGGTTTAGTCTGCTGGTATGAGGGAGATGGTGAATTATGGGAATGTTCAAAATTAACATTGCTCAAACACTATAGTTGTATACTATTAGAAAGTATAGATAGAACCGTTCATATAGTTCTAAGATTTAATAAAATGAATAAATATCTAGCAAACTGCTTTATATTCTAAATTAGCATGTACTAAATAATTTAAAGTATATATTATATTTAAAGTGTATATGTTTTAATTATTATATTATATCAATATAAATATATATGTATAATTATGCATGATAAGTATTGATAAATATTGATAATCGTACATGAGCAATAAAATTAGAAATAATAATATTTAATATATATTTGTATATATCGATTATTTTTTCATATCGAATTTTATTGATAAATAAGATTTATATCGATAACTAACTAATTATCAATATCTATCATTAAATTTAAGCACGATATATATTATTTTTTAACTATATAGCGATTAATATATGAATATCGATACTTATTGATTATTGATATATATTGATATATTGCTATTTTATTGATATATATTGATTATTTTTAATCGATATATATTGATAAATCATTATATATCGATATATATCTGTGTTTAAATTTTGCTGATATAGATTTAAATTTAGAAAACTACTATTTGTACTATAATTTTTATTATTTGCACTATTATTTAATTTTATCATATTTTTTTAAATTTTTTAAAATTTGATTAAAGATATCTCAGCAACTAATTAATAAATTTAATGAAATTTTTTATTTGAATTCTACAATTTTGTAGAATTTAAATAAAAATTTTTATTGAATTTAATTAATTGGTTATCAAAATATCTTTAATCAAAATTTTGTAAACAATTTTAACACAGTTTTTATATAATATATTTTAAACTTTAATTAAAGATATTTTGATAATGAATTGATCAAATTTGATAAAAATTTTTATTCAACTTCTATAGTTCTGTAGAATTTAAATAAAAAATTTTATCAAATTTGATTAATTTGTTGCTAAGATATCTTTGATCAAAGTTTAATAAACAATTTTAGTATAGTTTCTATCTAATATATATTTTAAAAATTTTTTTAAGCTTTGATTAAATATATTTTAGCAACTAATAAATCAAATTCTACTTTAAATAATTAAATAATAAATAACTTAATTATTATTTAGTTATTAATTAATTTGTAGAGTTTGAAAGCTTAATCAATAAGCTATAGAATCCAATCTTGCTAAATAAAAAAAATATTCTTTATTTTTTAAATCAAATTAGTAGATCTTTTCTTTTTATTCAAATTTGCTTTCAATCGAAGAACTTCACAATCCTGATGCATAATCTGTTTATTATACATATCAGTTTTAAGAATTTAACAGTAATAATGATGAATTATAAAATATTAGTTACCATTAAACCAGTTCTAAATCGATAACTGTCAAATCTGATAAAAATTGATCTATTCAACTTTGCTTCTGCTAAATAAATCTAATAGTTTATGTTTTCACATCTTATAACATTTCAATATTGATATAAAATTCGTCCATAATGCATAACGGCTTTGTGTGAGGTCGATAATATTTAAAAAATCTTTAAAAACATGAGTGCAAGTGATGGTCTAGTAAAATATAAAAATTTGAGCAATGTACTGATTTAAAATTTAGTAATAAATTCTAAATTAGCACTTTTAAGAATTATTTCTCGAGGTAATATTATGCTAAAAGGGTAGAAAGGGGAAATAGCATTATCTGCACTCAATACTACTATGCCATGTATAGTTACCAATCCCAAATCTGAAAAATCCGAAAAAGAAAATACAGGGCCTCCACTATCACCACCAATGCATGACATTTTATCTACAAAAGTCATGTCAGACTGATAATGTCCATCTTTATTTACATAAATCCCATTAAACGCATCTACGTAACCACAAGAAACCAATGAACTAATACCAGACCTACATAAATGTGCACCATGGCTAAATACGGGTATGTCATCAGCGACAATTAATTCAGGATAAGAAGCATTTTGATCATTCCTTATATTCGTTGAGAGTCGAAGGCAGTCACTCATTTTTTTTATATCAATTAAACCCATGTCGTGTGGAGATATAGAGGAATATACCACATTACCAATTAAATATTTAGAATCCAAGGTAAAAATTTTTTTTTTAAATCTACTAAAACGTTTCCCATTACAATGTCCTGCAGTTATAAGTAAAGTTTGATTTTTACTTCTTGCCCAAAAACCCACTGAACAAAAGGAATCATCAAATTTATTTGCAATGCCATCTCCAGATAATAGCATGGAACTCATTTTGTTCATGCCAATACTTCTTTTAATATATGTAGAAGTAATCGTTGGACTAAGGTCAAAATATACATCCGCATCATATTGTCGGGCAGCTTCAATAAAAGCCTGAATACGTTGATCGGGTGGCAATGATACAATTACGATGATTTTATTAAATCTTGGGTGAATGCCAGCGTATATACCGTTTGGTTTATTCTGCTTAACCATTATATCTAATTCTTTAAACGAAGATTTCAAATAAGCTAAGGACTTATTTACTTTTCTAAAGTTCAAAAACCTTATATATTCTCTCACATCAGGTTTAGAAGCTATGTCATACTTCTTAGCCATATTTACTGTATAAATTATTACTGAATTACTTTTTACATCTATATAAGTTCCAGCGAAATTTGAATCGTCTAGATATGGCTTTAATATTTTATTCACATTATTTAAATATGATTCTCTCTCGAGGAACCTTGGTATTAGATGAACTGGTATATTCCATAATCTTGCTAATTGTTCTTGAGCATGAATCATTAAATGTTTTTGGAGCGTAAAAATAAATAATAATAAATTTATTACAAAGTAATTGTATTTCATATTAATTGATGCGTAAAAAGAATAAGGACTGATATTTTGTAAATTTAAACAGTTAAATTTTATCAATTACTTTAGACATTATCTAAGCACATAATATTTATATAATGGCCATCAAATGAAAGCCCAACATTAAATTTAAGGCGGAAGTCAGCGAAAATAAGCAATCGTTTTGTATCATTATGATCATATGAAATATGAGAAGGATAATTCTGTTCGAGATTTTTGCAAAATCCTCTTTTAGAATAATTAATGGCTTTCATTTATCCAATTATAGGGGTAGGCTTATAGGGGTAGGTTAAAAAGGTACATCACGAGATTACCTGGATCATTCCGAACAAAACAAGCAAGACGGCAAAGACAAAAACACGAAAAAAATAAAAAACAGCCATTTAAACCAGTCTTGGTTCACAAAGTAAAAATGTATATAGGCTACTCTTCCTATCCTTAAATTAACCCTAACCCTAACCCCAATATCAGTCGATTATAGTTAAAAATCAGAAAAATCGGCTTTAGCCATCCTCCAATTGTAGTAGGAGTTAAGAATTTATCAACACAGCACATGATAATATCACACATCATAATTACTTCATGGTGCATGCAGTGACAGTACACATGGCGTAGGACTTTGCCGAAAATATTTTGGCTACCCACCTTTTGGCAGAAATGATACCGTAAACTAAACTAAACCTGAAACCTATAATGCGTACCATAACTCCTAAATTAAAAGCCGCAACTTTAAATATTATTAAATTTATAATCGTACAATTATTAGTCATTATTGTGCATGTAATTTTTAACAATTATTACGTATTTAGGCTGTTTGAAATTACACTCCTGTTTAATGTTCTTCCCCCTTTATCCCCAAGACCCTGAAATTAAAAAGCCAATCAGAAATGTTCATTACATCTTGAGATTTCAATAACTTACATACGTAATTATGAACCAACTAAAAATAATTTACAACGTAATGTAATGCTTTTTAAATTGACCCCTTCCCATCACTGGGCTTAAACTCAAACGGCACTAAGATATAGACTTAATGTATTCAGCAAATAAACGTTTTTTTTAGAATAAAAATATTTACATCGCACTAGAGGCCTGCAAATGACCTATTTTTATGACCGGCCCAGCCCACTTTTACAGCTATTATTATATTTCCTGGAACACCTGATAAAAAGTTGGCCGAATGATTTTCAGCCGATTCGATTATAATTTCGGCATGATTGGCACATAGATGCAATTTGTGTATATGTATAATACTTATTCTATAGCTAACATATAAGTGTTTGGCAATTTTTTGAGTATAGTATTTCTGTATTCAACCAGGGATGTATATGTATACATTATTGGACAGACGACAAAAAAATAACAGTCAATTGGTTTTTTTGTCGGAATTAATGTCACTCCATGTGC